AATAAGACCATTGAAAAGAGAAAATCAGGAGAAAGCAACTTTCCCTACATCTGCCGAAAAAGATTAACTAGCTACCAAGATAGTCTAATCAATCTGCTGTCGAGAAGTGGGAAATCGGAAAAGCCAGGATGAAGTATACGAGAACGATATGAGAATACTTGCATACGGCGTCCCGGCAGAAGCCGGTTGATCGAGTAGAACGAAGAATAAGATAAATTTGATTAATGCTAAAAAGCTTAAATTATGCAAAAAGTTTTATTTCGGAACGATTAAGAAAAAAGATTAAAAAAAATGAAACTCTTATCACTTTTTGAAAAAACAAAGAGACAAATTAATCGAGGTCCTAGGACAAACCTAATATTGCAAAAAACAAGACCTTAAACAAAGAGCTCCTAAGAGGAAACTCTTGAATAAGTTGTTTGAAAAAATGACGAATTAACATTTTCGTAACACAAATCAAAGTGTAATATTAACTTGGTAATCCACATCACACAAGGGATAACCGTAGGAAACGAAATAACTGATCTCGAGCCTTATTATTTACCTAAAGTCTTAATTGAGTAGGTTTAAGGAATATGATTTTCCATTTCAATATAATAAACAGCAAAAAGAAAAAAAGAGATTACTAAAAAAATGGGACCCTCTCACAGAGCTGACGAAAATTAGTATATTATCACGCGAAACAGAAAGCAAACCCTATCCAAGCTTATCCCATAGGCGCTCCCGCTAAAAATACCAGCGCGGGCCAGCCCCTCATCGCGGCGAAGAGATGAAAGTTCCGGACCACACACTCTAGGAATAAGTACTCGGCACATAATCGAATTTTAGGTAATTTTTTTTTAGTTTTAAGAGCGATTTATTTTGCACAGTTTTTAGAAGTTAAATTAGAGAAGTTTAGTTTTTTTTTTTATTATTTTTGGAATGTATTTGTTTTTTTTTTAGGAGACATGGTTAGAGAGGTAAAGAAAATAACGAAATAGTCATTAGGGGCGAGAAAAGAGAGGAAGCCGCTTCTTGGAAGTTATAGTGTAAAAGAATTGACCTACAATATGGCGGCGGGCGTAGAAGCAAAGAAGACTATGTTATATTTAAAGTGGCAACTTTTGTGAGAAAGTTGTGAGGTGGAGTAACGCGGGATAAAAGAAGAGAGGCAAGGCTTATCATGACTCCCTAAACACTACGCATTAATCCTGAAAACGCGAATCTCACAGTAGTATAAAAAATTTGATATTGGATAAATGCAAATACACTTTATAATACATATTCTGAATTGTTGGATTATAAAATTTTCTTCTTGAAAACGAGTAATGAATGGTGGATCGAAATTGGTGATTCAGCCCTGAGAACGCAGTACACAACACAGAGTTTCATGCTGTGAAGAGTGTTAGGCAATAAAAAAGAAACCAGAGCCTCACTTGTTCTTCTTCTGGGATGATGAAGGAATTGGAAAGTAAGCATATAAAGGATATAAAGTGGCAAACAAAGAAGACGAAATTAAAAAGAATATCTACTAAACACTCAGAAAATGATCCCCTCGTATACATAATAAGCACAAAAAGAGCAGTTAAGAGAATAGGAAGTTGAAAGGAATAGGGGTTGAAAAGATGATAAAATATGAGGAGATAGAAGAATTACCGTTGGTACGTGTGAATCGATCTGATACGATCTGATATGAGTTGGTTAGCAATAAGATGATTGAGGACAATATTATTACGATTTATCATTATCCAGACTTATCACGGAATAGAACCAGATCTAAATGTGGAATGATATATTGCAGGGCCAATAAAACGAAGAAAGCACGATCAAAATAAAACGGGTAATCACTAGTACCATAGACGAACCTAAAACACATACTGCTAGCTCTGCAAGTAAAGAAAGATATACAGTGGTTCTCTTGCTAGTAAGACCTGCTTGATAATCATCCAAGTTGTTTACCACCTTAATTCCCTGCTTATACTAAGATCATCAAGGGACAGATGAATACTGAGAGCAATGCTGTGGTCGACTCACCTTGAAGGTACTGGCAGTACCGGGAGGAATTTTACTATACTGATAATACTTATACTTCTAATAAAACTTAATTCTTTTAATGAATAAATATTACCCAGCAAGAGACAATATGGAAGAGAAAACGTGAGCCATGCTTGAAGATGAAGATGACTATGCGCATTTACATAAGAATACAATTGGAGAAGACAGATTCACTTGAAGCATAAAAAACCCCCAAAATAAAAGTAAGAATGTATTATTGATGATGGGATATGACTATCATTTTATAATGAAAAGAAATTGTTTTTTGTTATTTTGAGGAAGTTTTGTTAAAACTGATATTTTATTAGGAATGATTCTTGTAGCTTTGGGACATCAATTTTCATTGCAATCTAACTTTCTTATTTTCCATTATTGCTAATATAAAAAAAATTCAAATATTCCTGCTCAAAAATAGCCTTAATTTTTCATTTACAAGCCAATTTCTGTGTTCGTGGGACTATAACGCGCTTTACAGAATCCGCTACGAGTGGACTATACACCTCGCTCACGGAACCGAAAACCACACTCAGAAGGCAAAACAGTTACAGGCATTTTTAACGCGTTTATATAAGGTGTTAATAAAGTGCGTAATGAATGTCGACCCAGAAAGCACATGCACAAGGCCAACCACAAGCTGTGAGCAAATAGAGATAGCAACAGGCTCGACGTACGCAGAAAGCAAAGGTTTAGCAACTTCATTTCTCTTACCTCTAATAGAAAATTTAGGCTTTGCCTAAAGATAAAGCTTGTATGAACACATAAAAGAAAACTAAAAAAGCAATTTTATTCAAAAAAAAGTCACCCCCCCACCCCACCCCCAACAATTTTATTTTTTGAAATAGATCTACATAATAAAAAACATTTATTCACCAATTGCTCTTTATTATTGCTCTATATCATAGGCAAAACAAAATACTTCACATAATAATATTATTTCCAATTTCTGCTAACAATAAAATCATTTTCATTTCTTTTTAATTGTAAAAACTTCATCTATATAAAGACATGCTAAAGCCAAGAAATAATCGCACTATAACTAGGCATTAACAAATTTGACGCGTAAGCTATGTCTAAATCATACACATTCTCTTATCCCTTGGTTAGTTTAAGCGAATGCTCTACATTGCTCTTTCTGATACCAAAGATGAGAGAACAGCTTAACAAAAGCATATAACGATAGCCATACAAAACATATAAATTATAACGGAGATATTGACATTTATGATCCAGAGAAGGGGGAAATAAATTCAAAGAGCTTCCAAATAAAAACATCCCAGTATTACATACTATAAGGAGGCCTGAGATCAGTACAGTAGACAAGGCCCATCCCTAGAATTTAAATAAACAATCAAATCCAAGAGGCATTGTGAGATGCCAAGAAAAATTAAAATTCATATATCATCTCGCTATCTACTACTTATGTAACTTTACTAAACAAATTACAGTCAGCATGAGCTTACCTATGATATTCAAATAGTTTAAAAAAGTACAACAACTCATCTCAAAATATCACCTGGTATTTGTAGCTTAACAGTATGTCATGAGTGATCTTTTAGCAAGCATTACTTGGTCAGCAGATAGAGAACTGATCAATTTAAATATGCTTGCAATTAAGCCACCTGTCCAATCAACTGCAATTCGTACCCAACTAAATGCATGGAAATTGGGTAAGCGTTATTTTGCATTGAAGGATTTACGATTTGAAATTTAGAAAAGTAATTCAATAGAAATAAAATAACATCTCAATTCTTTATATAAAGTCTCACACACTAATTGTATAACATTTTCAATTAAAAAACAAACAAAATCTTGCATTTAGTTTATTCAAATTATATTTGTTAAACGTGAATCCAAGAACAAGCTTATTCTTCAATTGTACAGATAACACTTGAGCTAACATGAACTAAAAAACAACTTTCGCTAGAGCATTTATGATTTGCTGATGCATTGTAAATATAAATTAATCTGAGAGATGTCGTACCATTCTAGACATTATTATTAGAAAAAAGTGAGTGCTATTCATTACTCCTTTGTGATTATGCAAGAACATGTGCTGATTGCAAACATTGTAGCATGAACAAGATGTTGAATGCTTCAGTCCCATAGTGACCATATACCGTTTGTACAAAACGGTCCAAAATCTATTTTATGATTTTTCAAGTTACTTTCTTCCACCTCCAAATTTAAGAGATATAGTACATCGGATAAATAACAATACATGAACTCACAGGTAAGCGATCCCAAACAAGTCGAGCATCATTTGGCATTGCATGGTAATAGGAGGAACCAAAAGCAACCGCAGCCACGCCAACGAAAAAGAATGACCAACCCCATAGCTCGCCTTTCAAGCTGGGAAGTCATCAAGGAGTATTAAACTAAAAATAATAATTTCAGATTTCAAACCAGAAAGAAATAAAAAATTAGCCAAACTAGCCAATACCTCAATCTAAAGTAATTTCCATGATAGCAAAGTATAAGCCCAACAACACCCACTACAAGGTAAGGAACGTTTGATACAACATTGAGTGTATTCGGTATACCTGCATAAAACAAACAAGTAGATACTTGGATTAGAGAAACTGATAATATTGCAACCAAAAAGAGGACAAAAAAATTAACACTGTATTGGATAAACTCCTCAAGCAGTTAAATAAACCAAAAAGTAGTGTTGCACAATTTCTGAATGCATAAAGATCTAGATAATGAATGCATTAGAAGAAGTTTGTGAAGCTTCCTATATCAATAATAAGTCAGCCAAGACATATATTTAGATCGGAAAAAAATCCAATTGATTAAGCATATTTTTTTACTTGAAGCACAAAATTCGAAGACCAGCAAAAAAGTTAAACATGGGTTCATCAAATTTAACAGATGATTGAACAAAAGTTTGGATGAACCTGAATTAATTCAATTGACTTCCCAGAAAATTTCTGGAAGGAAAGTTGATAAATTCGTAGATTGGTCAAGCCGTATCCTGAAAGAGAGCTTCAATCAATCCGGCCAATTTAATCCAACCCTACGTGAAGTCGTGAATGATAACAAATTGATATAGATCCGCTCCTACCTTAGGCAAGGGAATTTCATAGCAAGTGTTGGCTACTCTAACAGCTCTTCCATTGCAAGGCTACCACCTGGTCATCAGCAACCTCAATTGCCACCAACGTTCCCTCATTTGGTTGTGGTATTTTTGATAGGAAATACTTGAGTTCGCAAGACCCTAAGGGAATACTTGAATTCGCAAGCAAACCTATCACTAATTGGAGACAAAACAGCGAGAAATAAGCAAAACTCTGGGCGAAATCAGCCCCAAAACGATAGATTGCAATAAGGGAAACAAAGCAAAAATAATACGAAAGCAAGATACAAGTGATCCTCAATTCAAGAGGAG